ATCCAGATCAAAAAGTCCCCGGCTCGGGCCACAGGACCTCCTACTATAGTTGCATTGTCCACAAGCCACCCAACAGCTATGGGCCTCTCAAAATCCCCAGGCAACTTTGCCACACCTTTGAAAGTACAAGTACCCCTGACACTGTTGGAGAATGTCCAAAAACCTCCCAATGTTTCCAGGGTGGCCTGGACTTTATGTATTTTTTACATACGCACTATATTCATTATTTTGTTAGGAAAAGTTATTGGTTGGTGAGTGATCCAAAATAGAGGTCACTCAAGTTCTATCCCCCTCTCTCTCTCTACATACACACACATATATTGTATTCTGTAGATTCTTGGGCACAAACCAACTTCGTACCCGCCCATGGGCGCGGGAATTCCCGGCGGATTCGGCCGACCAGGCCTTTGGCAAAGACTTAACTGGCCGGTGGCTTCCTCACTCCGATACATCTGACCTCTGGGCACCTGAGGCGGACAGATCGTCGTCTTCGTGCGACTCGCGACCCCGTGCGACGGATAGGACGAAGCCTACCAGTGTACCCCCCGGTCTCAAGCTTTGGACCAAGGTTAACTAGAACCTACATGGACCAAGGTCGGCGTGAAGAGACGTCCCCACGTCATGCTTTGAGTTTGGTGAGTTCGTCCCAAGCCAAGATCCTTGGCGGTCAAGCCAAGCCTCATCTTGCGTGAGACCAACGCTCTGTTCAAAGGGCACGATCTTGCAGGGGGCGTTATGTTACTGTCGTTGTTTGTTGAACTCTCCCCGTTTTCCGGCACCAAGCCGTTTGTCAATGGGCTGTACATTCACAGAACTTACATCCGGACAGGACCGTTTGGATTTGAACATAATGAACTGTTTCATTGGGCCAACAACATGTGTTCTGTCCTTATTCCTGGATTTCAGCGGCATCGAGGCAAAAAGGTGTGTCTGGCAGAAGTGGAAGCACATGTGTGGCTTTCGTGCTGCGGTGTGGCAGCTCCTACATGTTTGAGGTGAACATAAGAGTGAGTCGATTTGCACATCCAGTTGGCAGTTGCCACCAGTGCGTAGGTCTTCGTAGGTGGATTAGGCCAATGAAAGAATTCCTTATAGCTGGGGTACTAGGTTGGGTCTATCATATTACCAGTAACAGTGGAGGATGATGGTTAGTAAAAGCCTTTCTCAAAAATAGTGATACTTATTTACTGACTCATACCATACCGGGAATAATTAGGCCAAATTTATATAGATTTTTACTCATCATGACTCATAGGTCATTGGAATCGACAATTTCTCGGATCACTCATGGACGGTCATTGTCTCACTCCGTGGAAAGCCTAAGATTTTTGCTGCGACTTTCCACTCCGTTTCACCTGAGATACTGAGGAACCATCTTTTGTTCGGACCCACAACGAACTCGTGGGGGTTCACAGGTGTCCGCAAGAGAACCGTACCGTCCTCTCATGAGAGCTTAGGTGGTTCCCCTACTTGGGGGTTCAAAGGTGGCAACCCCCCAAAAAACTGAGAAAACCAATGAAAACACCGTAAAACCACACATCTTAGGCTTCACCATTTGGCGGATTTGGATGGATTTAGGGGAACCCCATGAGGCTGCACAGCTTAGGCGTCCCTGCCACGAAGTGCAACTCCAAGGACTTCACTTGATGCGCCCGGTGAAGGAACTCCTGGCGAGGAAGAGGCCTGGGGTTTCGCATGGCTTGGTTGGAAGCGGAATCTGCATCTGATGTCAGATTTCAGCAAGAGGGGTGTTGTTGTTTTTCCCGACTTGAAACGCTTGAAACCGGTTGAACATTAACTAGACCCCACAACCAAACCCCTGGTACACTGCCAAATCACCACCCAAATTCAATGGGCATGCCGAAATGCAACAATGGTTCGGTATGGTTCGGTTGCTGGGCGGCAATGGCCTGGTGTGTGAGCCATGAAATTCTTCAAGTTGTTGCAAGTGTATCATGTTGTGTTGTCTATCTTCGACACCTCCAGTATCTTTCACTGAGACTATAGTGACTATAGTGACGAAAGCGGCTTGAGGTATGTTTATGTTTATGACCTTTTATAACATATTATATGACTCTATATATACCCAAGCTGGCGGTCACAGACCACAAACAGCTATAAAGTAAAACAACAACTCTATATATATATATACAATAGTCACTACTAGGACCCACAAGGGGTGGTTAATGGACACCCCTTAACCTCTAAGGGGCTATCAATAGACACCCCTTAGGGTGTCCTTGTATATAGTAACGCCTACAGTATCTTTCCATCTTTGCGCCTGTCTTCCCAGAAGGGTCGGGAGGCCGATGGCCCATCGATCCTCCACCTTTTCCGCTCATGTCAAACACAGTGGTGTCTTTTGTATTATAACACCTCCCAACAAAAAATCGAAGCTACTGAAGTAGGGCAAACATGATAATATAAACAACCAACACTGATCTTGACACGATGACCGGGAGCTCTTTGTCTCTCACGTCCTACGGACGCATACGAGGCTTCGTCTACCACCCCGACGATCGAACATCGATCGGCCCGGACGACGCGGACGCGGACGCCACTCGTCGGACGAGTGTCGGTCCTCGTATTTCCCCAAGTCCGCCATCGCTGAGCCGTAGGCGTTGAGGATGTGCACCTGATCTGCAGGATGGTGAGAGTCTGAACGAAGGGTCCAGCTCCACCGCTCCAATGGCCAAAGCAAATCCACGCCTCCAGGGTGTTTACCCATCCCAGGGGTGACCTTCCAAACGAGGAGGTGTGGGGAAGTACCTTGACTAATTTCTCATGACTAGACTCGCTAGACTATATTCTAAAGGTATTTGTCACACAAACATGAGCAAAAAAGGGTATGAACACCTGTCCAATAATAAGGGACCAATTGACCAGGCCCTGGCGCACTGCTGGCGCTGTCTCAACCCCTGTCCTGCCAGGAGCCTCGAGGTGTCTCTGATTCCAGTAGTGCTCCGCCAAGCGGCAAGCCTGTTGGCTGGACATGATCCCAACCGTGACACGATTTCCAGAAAACCACGTGATGACCACCTGTAGAGTCTAGCATAGTCTGGCCTAGTCATCCATGCATAGCTGCATGCCATTTAGGACCATGTACACATCTCACTGTTACGGTTCATATATATTCCTTCAGAATCAGCAAATGTCTCTGCGAGCAACGGCGACGACTGACTGGTCCGATCACAATATTCTTCGACACGAAGATCTAAGTCTTCCTTCGTGCCAAACCAGCTCAGATTAAAACCAGCCATTGGACATGTCATGACATATCGATCAAGCTGACATCTCTAGCTTCCGATGTCCTCTCAGTTTCTCAGTTACTCTCCTTCAACCACAGATGTCACAGCCCCCCCTTGATTCAATCTATCAAACCCGTGCCCTACCGGAACACCCACCAATCCAACAAGGTACAGAACAGGAAGCGCCAAACCACTCCCAAGCATACCCAGAAACATACGACCCAAGCACTCCCACGATCACGGCACCTCGATCACGGCCATTGGGAAGGACAGCATGTCGATAATGATCTGCGCTTCCGAACGGCGGAAACCAACCCCCGGTGTCGGGGGGGCCCGTTCGGGTCGGCTACGGACAGGTCGGTCGGACGGCAAAACGAATGAGACCAAGCACGCAAAGCAGCTGCAAAGGATGATGGACATGTGAGATAATGAGTTCCAACATGTTTTGAAGCCTGGAAAGTGTCTGGGTCTCAAGCGGGGGAAATCACTGAAACATGTTGGCGCAAAGGGATGCGCTTTCAAAAAGGCGTCACTTCTGGAAACCCGGCACGGCGTTCCAAATCCGACTAGCTTCTATATATTGCCCTTGTTCCTAGGAGCGAGGAGCTACTACTAGTAATGCCCAAGGAGCTACTGGTAGCTTCTTGTTCCTAGTATGTAGTAATGACCTGTTACTAGTAGCGATGCCCTACTTGTTACTAGTAGCTTCTTGTTACTAAGAAAGAGTACAGGATGACGTCTGGGGACTTGAAGCACTGAACTTTCTTCGCGACTGGCGACTGGCCTGCCTCTCGGTGTGTGAACAGCAGTCTACCAATTTGTTGCGGATGAGCAATCCCTTGGCATGACCACGAATGACCAAAACCAAAGACCTCCAGCCATCAATTAGCCAACATTCCAACAATATTTTGACATTGAAGAAAACCAAACTCATCTCTTCTTACCGGCACCAATGTTTAAGTGCTCTAGGACCCGAAGTATTCCACAGGGCGCTGAACCGCCTCACCTGCTGTGCGGTGGGAGGGCATTGTTCGAAGTCCTTTTCGTCGAGGCCTCGGCGGTTCCCGGCGTGACTCCGGCCACTAGTAACTTAAGGACGCTACTAGTAGCTCCGGGGATCGCTACTAGGAACAAGGGCATTACTAGGAACAAGAAGCTACATTCGTAGCTCCTTGGGCATTACCAGTATCAAGACTCTCTTCCAGGAGTCACATGTTGGAGTGGTTTGCTTCGTCCCATCCGGGGTACCTAGCCCTGTTCTCCTTCCTTCCCGTTCGGCAGATGTGACTTCTGGTACCCGAATCACTTTGACACCCCCATCTCAGACCAAGAAGACCATGACAAAAACACCCACACCTGACATACTGCTCTCTCTCTCTCTCCCTCCCTCTCTCTAACTACTGCTGTACTGTCTATACTACTCTTCTCTCTGTCTCTCAACTTGGGCCTCGCCTTTCAGTCTGGCATAGTTGACGTACTCCTGGCAAACAGGCCGGCACGGTCTTTTATGATCTTTTATGAGGCACAGGACGTCCAGTTCCAGCTTCATGAACAAATAAAACTATAATATATATATATATAGGACAAAAACATCTGATCTAATCCAACAAAGAGTTCCGGTGGAATGATCTGATTTGATACAAACGCACCAGCTCTCACCAGCCCTTTCTGAATGGATCTCTCGCCGAGGGAAGGTCAGAAATTCACACTGGCGCGGACCGGAGGGCTCCGTGCGGGGTTGGTGGTCCGAGTCTAATAGCGGGAGAAGTCCAGATCGGCTGCGATGACATGCTTTGGCTTCCGATCTTCCTGTGGCACCTCAGAGCCTGGCTCGACAAAGATACTGTAGATGCGGCCATTGTCATTGGGATCTGATCCATCACTACTGGAGAAGATCACCACTGGCAGTTCCTCAATCCAATAGACTTCGCGGAAATGTCGCCCTGGATGATCACATGTCAGGCCATCAAATCCAAATCGTGCCTGCCAGGCCCGCGTGGGCTGCTCCCTGTTCCGATCCTCATCACCAAACAGCTTGGCCAAGGTGTCCACGGTCCTTCCTTCGTTTGGGGGGCGCACGAACCCAAAGGTATATCCTAGGCTGGGCCCAGCTTAGCCCGACTCCTTCAGTTTCCCTGGAAAATTCAGGGTTCCAACCAGGGTTACAGTATGTTACAGTCGTCGTTGGTTCAACCTGTTCGCAGTGTCCCCTTTTGGGGTGTCCCCAAGCCCCAATCCACAAGGTGACCTGCAGATGATCCACTGATCCACTGGGCCCTAGGATGCTTCAGGATGCTTCAGGGAGTGGGGGGAGTTCATGGGACCCCTACAATATAGATGGGTTCCGTGGACTCCATCCCCTGTTTGGTATTCGGAGGTTCATATGAGTTCATAGGAGGGAGGGTCATTGTAAAATGGGAAAATCACCTACTACTGCGATCTGGCCTCGCTTGTCCTCTGCCTCGAGGTCACTCTCCACTCCAAAGCCATACTGATACCCATCTTCATGTACATCAAAGCGCAGCTCCCACACCGCTGGCACCTCACTGGGAAGCTCAGCGGCATAGCAACGTGACCTGTTCGCGTCGGAGATGCGAGCAGCTCCCAAGGCAGCTCCCATGTTCCAGGATTTCCCAGGCGATGAACTACCAGATTGGGACACGAACGTCAATTCGGCTCTTCGGATGTTTTTTTAAGAATCCCAGACCATGCATGTATGGAATATAATGGAATATTTGCTGTCCAGGAACCTGGAAAGAATAACCATATTCACCAGGTTTGGGGGATTCACCCAGTTCGGGAAAAAAACAAATCAGCTGATGCGCAAAACTGTGATAGTTATTTACATTGGGAGACTACTGCTGCACATGCCGCCGAATGGTCTTAAGATGTCCTGGGGAATTCTCGCAGGCATCATAACCATGACAAGTGCTTGATTGTTTAACAGGCATTTAATACCTTGCTGCAGTCCTAGAAAAGCTGCCTTGGGCTTGAGCGACCTGTTAAAGTTGTTCTAAAGTTGTCGTTTCCAATCGTTTTCCATATCTAGCCGTGCGCCCTACGCCCCCTGCTGCACCCATGCGCCCCGCACACGGCTCAGGCGTACCTTGAGTGTTGCAGCTTTAATCGGACAAATGGGCCCTTCAGCACCACCTGAGGCCGTTCCGCCAGCTCGCTGTGCCAATCGAGTACCAACTTGCTACGTCGTGACTCGGTCTCCGCATCAAAGAGCCTGCAGGCTCGGACATCCCGCCAAAGCACGACACGAGACTTGGTCCGTGAATTTCGGGTTACGGTTACAATCAGTTTTGCAGTTTGCACCTTGGACATAAGCACCCATGACATTTACAAGACTTTACATGTTGTATTATAGGGGGTGGGAAATGACCTCCAGTTTCTTTTCCCAATGAAAATACACCAGTGACCCACCATGTGGCAAGCGCCCCGGTTTCTTTTTCCGCCGCGGTGAGCGATGTCACGGATCCGCGTCATGGGGACCTGCCCCGGAGGCCAACGAGAAGCACCGAGAAGGCTTTTGTTGGGGGTTGCGTTCGGTGCTCGGGACTATATATACTCAGCAAAGAGGCGACCCCACGAGCCGAGCGGTCGGCTGCGCGCGAGCGGGGTGGTGGATGGGAAAACCCCGGGCCGGTGTCTTCCGCAGGTGGATCGTGGGGATCAATGAGTTTTGGCTGGGTCTCTTTTGGTGCAAGAGGTTCGAGAGGACATGATAGGATTTGAGCACCCATACATGAGTTCACACCCAACAAAAAAGGCCTCCAAGAACACCAGAATGCACCACGCCCCCACTATACCAGCGACCGCTCCAAAAAAGAACGCTGCCGCCAGACCTATCTTCGGAAAGGACCTGCTAGTATTTTTTTTGCGTCACTGAAGGAGATTAAGGAAGCAGCCGGTTGGCACCGAAAAACTGATATCGAGATTTGCTGTTGTTGAGATTGTCAGGATGTGTACTGCTTGTTTTCTGGGCTATGGATATAGATTCGGGCTTGGAAAATTATGGTCCAGATTCCAAAAGACTGAGGAACAACAACCGAAAACCGACGAAACACGCCGTGGGCCCCTTCGGGCCTCTTGAGCACCTCCCGCGCAGCCGTCTCGAAGCTGCGCCGCGTGTCGCGAAAGAATGCTTTCAGAACAGATGTGGCTTTTCCATATGCTTTCGCCGAAGTCTTGGTCATATCTGCTACTAGGTCAAATTGCTTTATACTAGGTCAAGCAGGATCAGTGGCTCGGTGTGATGGACGTGGTGCGACGACAACTGGATGAGGTGTGACACCGATGAACCCGCAAGTGGACGCGGCTGTTGTGATATAGGATGTTCAGAAAATGTTTTCAAGGCGAACGGATCCTGTCGTTGATATGTTCTGCGTCAGAGCGGTGTTCGCACTCAGTTCGGCTCAAGGCTCCTTCTGACTTCTCTTCAGCTGCGAACAGATCTGCAATCAGGGGTTCCAGTAACCTTGCGCACTAAAGAACATTGAAAACCGTGTCCCTCGTTCCGTCCTTGTGGCAGCGACGAAATCACAGGAGGGCTTCTTTCTTCAGCCTCAGATGAACAAAAGAGGAAGCGGAAACTGTCTTTGAACATGTCGCCCTGCTGCTCGACTTTCAAGCGGCGCAATCCTGTTTCTGGTTCGAGCATTCAAGAAGCACCCCCACGACGTGATCCGAGCTATTGGTGTTCTATAGATTCTATAATTCTATATGATTCTATAGTGATACGTGGGGGAGATGGCAGATGTGGCATAAGGGCCTTGAACTCATGAAGGTTGCCAAGCACTCCGATTTCATCCGATTTCAATTGTTTCAATACGTTTGAACCATGGCGTCGCCCACAAAGCCTGGGCGCAACAGCCAGAAAGGAGCGGAGATTCGCCGGCTGGGTGGAGCTCACGCTGCACCACCCGCTTCATGTGGAAAGCAACAAAGAAGCCGCAAAAAGGCATCCTTCATTGGCTATTGGCAGATCTGTTGAAAAACTCTGTGCGCTCGTTCGCTGCCCGGCCTGCCACTCTGCACAGGCCAGAGACCCAAACCCGAAACCGCAAATGGCTACGGCGGGTCGAAGGCAAAAATGTTTGAAATCAACGCCAAGCATTCTCTATCCCCATACACCCTGGATGCTATGGGAGGTGATTCTGACGGTTCGGTTCTGATCATGGTTCCACGGCTTCGTTCTTGGTACCCACTGGTCCTTGTGTTTGGCTGTGCAAGTGGGTAATTGAAACATGGAGGCTATGATAGAAGTAACCCTTGATTCAACAGAGATTCCATCGTGTGCCATCTATAGTCTATAGTCCTTGGAAACCTTGGAGACCTTTGGAAGGATTTAACTCTGCATTCTATATGTGTTCGTCCACCCAGGCACCAAGCAGTTGATGTACTCAAGAATTCGTTCGTGTGTTTTTAATGCTTAGAAGAAAGCAAGGGAACTGCAGGGACGGGACTGCGATGTCAGCCATTCATGCCGGGCCTGCTTTGCCTTGCTCTTGGACGCAAGCTTCCTCACGTCTTTGGCAAGGCAAGAGGTGCTTCTCCAAACCTTGTCCCACCTGAGCCGGTTACTGCCGCTGTTGTCTCAAGGAAGGTTCGACTGTAGACAGGCGTGCGAACAAAGCCCAAGCATGTCCAAGCCAACCATGTGCTGTGGCAGATACACGAACAGCACATAACTAAGACCAGCTTTCTGTGGGTTTCTGTGGTCCCTTCTACGTGCGATATGTTGAGAAGTCATGAGAAATCCTTTTCACTACCAGGGGCCTTGAACGAGGGTTTTGCACAATCTTGCTGCCAAGACGCAGTAGAGCCACATGGTCTGTTCTTCTTCCCGAAGCCTGAGAAACCGGGCAGAGCAGTGCTGTGGAGGTTCCACCGGCGGCGCAGCAGCCATGACTTACCCCTTCATGGCTTCCCCCCCGGGCGGTTGTTCATAGAAAGCATATTAGTGGTGAAATTTGTGACCTGCACGGAACACGCCGTTATGCATGGTGTTACAAGACACTCCAGTCTGACATGGAAAGGCCATAATTTTCTTTGGTTACAAGACACTTCAGTTTTGCATGTCTGCTTAAGTCCATGTTCATGAACTAGAACCGCCTTTGCTGAGCCAGAATTCACGGAGGGGTCCTGGTTGGAAGGGGAATTAGAAAAAGAAACTGGAGCTGATTTCTTTTACCTCACCCCCCTTGATTTCTTTAGCAAGGGGTGGGGGATAATATAACATTATATCATCTGTATAGCTATTGACAGCCTCAACAGTAACAGTAACATCTATTGACGTAACAATAATTTGCCCGAACACTCCACGTATGGAGTTTTGACCTGCATATTGGGGTCAATACATGGGGTGGCATATATTCCAGACATTTCCAGACATGGTGTCTGAGTAATTCTTAAGTGCAAACTGATCCCAAACACTCCATGTATGCCATATATGCCTACATTGACCCCCAAAACCACCCTAATGTAGGCATGTATGGCATACATGGAGTGTCTGGGGATTAGTCACAACCCTACCTTGGGTCCGTGACAAAGAGGAATTCCGTGACCACGCTGGGCTGCACCCGGGCCGGGACCAGGCCGCAGCGCTCTCGAACAAAGCGGATCACATCAGAAGCCTCGGAGAATTCGATGGGATAACCACCCAGCCAGTCTTTCACATCAGTCCAGAAGTTCATCCCACGCTGAAATTGAGCCTCAAAGGCCAACACGAAGGGATTGCGGTGTTTCTGCAAGACCTCCTCTTTCAGAAGCCACCAGCCATACTCTCTTTCCATCTGTCCACGGTTTATCTCATCCAAAGACACATAGAGCCGCTTGATGTAAACCTGCGTGAACTCGCGTCTTTTCTCTCCATGAACACAAATGCCAGCTGTATCAGTAATCTGGTTGTTGAACACAATGTTCCCAATCTTCCCAGACTGGATATCAGGTTACATATCACCTTTTCGCATCTTGACAAGGAGTCTGAGCCTGTTGGAATGCCGGGTATTTCCTGGTGTTCAACATGCGGTCCTTGTCTTCAGATGCTTCTTCTGTGGCCAAGCAACAAACAGTTCCAGTGGAGCCTTCAATTCGCACCCGCGGTCTAGCGGTCTGGTGTTTGTGATGTCCCGAGTCCCGACGATCAAGTTCGGTCACTTTGAAGCAGGATCAAAAATGGGTTCCCGTTGGCTGAGGGACATGGTGTCCTCTCATACCCACCCCACCCCCAAGGTGTCAACTCTCGCCTAAGAATCCGGGCCGGACCAACACCTGCGAAACTGGAGAAGGCCTGCCACCCCTGCCATGGTTCGGGCCCTTTTTCGGAGTCTTAGGGAGGCTTGTGTCGCTTGCTTCCCAACAAATCCCACAACATTCCGACGATTTGGCTTTCACCGGCCCGTTGGTCCAGTTTTTCGTTTGCTCCAGTCTCGGCACCCAATAGTCGGGATCTCGCACCATCTCCCGCGCATAGAGCGCCAGCATGAAGGCACCTCCCCCCTCCTCCGGTCGTTTCACAAGGTGACAGCTATGCTCCAGCGCTTTCCACAAGTCTCCAGTATGATGAAGAGCGCCCCACGAGTAGACCACATCGGTCCTGTGGACCCAACATCGGTCCTGTGGACCAAAGGGGTGATGGGTTCTGGCCTCCTTTCACCTACCTGGACCCCCAGGTACCATCGCCCGAAGTCCGGAGTTGGTTTCCGAACTGTCGGAAGGTGTGTTACAAAAATATAGTCATAATGTGGTGCCACTGTGGTGCGTAGAGTGAAACATATACATATATATATTATATATAATATATATATATATATACCAGCACCTTCCAACAGGTCTCCTTTGGAGGGTTGCTGGGCCCTAACAGGTTTCAATTGGTGACCTCTTGGAGGTGCTGGTACACAGATATACACAGTATGATGACGTCTGACGATCTATTTTTCTGGGACTGGAAGTATTTGTAAATCAGTTGGTGGAGCGTCGGCGAGCTCCTTTTCTTTTCCGGACAGTCAATTCCTCACTTTTGATACCAATCTCACATGCATTCCTCCAATCTCCTCTGACGTCATGGGTACCCTCTTTCGCCGTTTCGTTTCGTTTCTGCTGGGTCCTGTGGTCCAGATCTTCTTTCTTCAAGATGTCACCCAGGTAAGCGTCCCAACGTGTGGCTTTGCTGATCTGGCTGCCATACCTTTGTTGCAGCGCCCTGGTGCTGGTCAATGAGTCAGTTTGCCGATCAAAGGATAGAACAACACTGGCACTGGCCACGGCAGCTGCTGCTGAATGAATGCCTGCCAGTGGTTTGAACGTGTACCGTATCGTGGAGATTTGCAGCAACATGGGATTCTTCTTGTGGTTAATCTCTGAGACGCGTCGCATTGAAATTTGGACCCCTCCAAATACTCCGAAACAGCCCTTGTGCTTTATCCCACCAGCACGGATAATGACCCGATGGCACGATTGATATACTGTATTGGCTCTGTTGCTGTGGAATGGAATTCACAAGGAGTTTCTAAGATATTCTAGGATCGCTAACAGCACGAAAGCACTTGGGTGTGGATGCCCTTTTGGTTGGGCTCGGCAACATTATGCAATATACATATCAATACAATACATATCAACATGATATATCATGATATGTTTCCATATGATGCGGATATAAAATGACAACAATGTAGTCAAAGAAGTGTGTATATGATTCTTGGGATTCTTCGTCTAGCCCACAACCCATTGTGGGTGGACTAGTAGGTGGACTGAACCTTCATTGCAATGGCTGTTTCCCCAATGAGCTTGCTGCCTGCTCTCTACACATGTATAATATATACACTGTAATTATGTTGGTTCTTGACTAGCTTTAGTCAAGCTCATCTTTACATTCGGGTGTGTCTGCTGTGAGCTTCGTCTGGAAGGCCTAAGGTGAAAGACATGGCCCTGCTTGGAAGGCCGTAAAAGGCATGTGAAGCTCGGCATCGCGGCATCGCCGTTGCAGGCCGGATGTTGGAAGTTTCAGGAGATGTTGCGACTGCGAGCTTTACTCCCCTCCTCCATGCACATGGAACCCCAAAACCACGTCGGGTGGTAGAGGAACATGGTCGCAACCACCGGGAACAATTCCCAGGTTGACTTTGCCGGGAGAGTATCAACCGTTAAAACGGTGGAGACGGACCGAGACTCCGTCATTTGGCGGTTCAACAGAATGTTGATGCAATTCCTGGGACCGTGACCGGTGCGAAAATCGACCTTGCAGGCAAAACACCACTGCCGCACCCAACATCCAGAAAGCTCAAATTCTTCAGAACTTGTCCATCTGCCACTTGCCAGCCATCCACAAATCTGCCCATGGGGGACAGGAAGTTCAACAAATTCATCATGGAGATCAGCAAGGCCTCGAGATGAAGACGACCACACGGTCCAGACCCTCACGGTCCCGTTCCAGCTGACGGTCCTGCTGAGTTGCTTTGACCTTTTCTGCTTTGGGAGGCCATCGCTCTTAGGGAGCGGAAGCCATCGCTAGGTAGAAACGAAGAAGGAACACAAGCGACCGCACACCGGGGCAGTTGCTAAAGCTATGGCGAAGTGTCGGCCCAATGAGAGGGGAGTTCTATGATACACCCACTCACATATTCGATCAAGGGACATTCTGCAAGTCGCCAGGACCAGAGCTTGATGAACTTGAGCAGTTTAGCTTGTGGATGAACGAGTTCCAGTTTTCTCCGAAATTGTAGGTCTCCTTAGCTCTCAAGTAGCTGCTTCTGTTGCTTGTGTGTTTCCTTTTTTTGCGGCAGTGCCTTCATCAAACACGCAAGGACAGCTCTGCAGATCACTCTACTTACCAGTTGAACAAAAGAATACCCGTGATTTCCAGTGATAATGGCCATCGACTGGATATATGTCCATGTAACCATATCACCATATCAGTCTGGATATGACATGATATGACCATATAACCATATCACGATAATTTACTGATTCTTGACCATCCAGTGATATCCATAAATATTCAAGAACCACATACCACCCGCCCCAGATCAACCTCGCCGAGTCCACCGAACCTCTCCCACTCCGGGTGCGAACGCCCCCTGAGTCCGGTCCGAAAACCCTCCCATGAGGGCCGACCACACCACCGTTTGGGCGGGCCGAAGACGCCCGGAAAACGGGCCGGCCTCGGCCCCCGGTTTTCGACTCCCACCGAAGGGTCTGGGTCATAAAGCACTGAGGCCATCGAGAGTTTCAGCAGACATCCCAGCAGCGCGCGCATGGCCGCCAGGCGACACGACCAGAGGAGGTCGTGGGGGCCAAGTCCACTCCGAAGCTAAAGCTAATTGAATTGACCAGCACCACCCAGGTCGGGTGGTTTATAGACCCCCCTGAAGATGTATTTTCTATCTAATAACCACCCGAACTGGGTGGTGCTGGGACCTGGCGATTCTAGCTAGCTGAGTTCAACCATCTGACAGGAGAGGCACATCACGGATTTGAAATATGTCTTCTTTGCGAGGTCGCGACAAAGGCAATGCAGAGAATTGTATGCTTTTTGGTAGGAGTGTGTCTTCTTTTTGATACTTTTTTGACCACACAGAGACAGAACACCCAAGTTTAAGGACATCTTGGGATGTGTTGGGTTTTGGATAGTTCGGGGAAGCGCGTGCAAGGACATGTGTGTGGAATCTCTAAACATATGAAAAATCAAAGAAGCTGGCTCCTAAAACAGAGTTAGTACATGTTAGTACTGTAAGCGGTTCGAGCGGATTTCTTCCACCTCTCAAGCGGTTTCTTGTCTTGCTGAGCTGAAGCTAGTGGTTGGAGCCCCTTGGCAGGAAAAGCATCTCTGACCTTCCGAAGTGGCCGGTTTCTTGGCAATTCAAGACTCAAAGGCTGGTACCAGGGAGTCTTCAGCAAGCCCGACAAAGCTTGAATCGGCTTCTTCTTCAGACCTCTCGGACATTCGGAGGGCCTTAATTACAATGGCCAGCTGTGCGGAAATTCCCTCTCACAGCACATGTCATTCATTTCGTCATTGTGCTACCAGAATATCTTAAATGTATGTTTTAACCTGACATTCTTGTGTCTGTTTCAGCAGGAGCCCAATGGCTGCAAACACAGAAAAGACTGCTGGGAAGTTCTCTGGAGGTGAACATGGCCAACATCTAACATCATCTACCAGCACCGAACCCAGGTCTCCGTTGCATGGAGGGTTGGGAAAGGCCCGTGCCCAGGTTTCAATTGGTGACCTGTCCTCATTAACTTCTTACATACCTGGCCTGCTGGCTGTGTCACCCTGAAGACTCCACGAGAGCTTCCCGGGGCGTGGGCCACGCGCCCCGTGGAGTGGACTACAAGGATCACGGAAAGGGTACCCTGATGTATAGGTTCAGTCTGGCTATGAATCAGGCGAGGAAATCGATGTGTTGGGCTCTTGTCCCAACACCTCTTCAGTTGGGCTCTTACGGCTCTTCCGGCGCTTGTTTCAATCGAACCTCGCGCCTGCCAGCCCTCGTGGAAGATGGCCTCGGGCAACTCACCCTCCGCCAGGCCAGTGAAGAAGGGCACGCCGCCACCCATCTGGCAGAAAAGTCCGAAAAAGGGAGCCCCTCCACACAGAGAAAGAGGTGCACGGGCAATTTTGCTATCTTTTGGGCCGTTCATCTTGATGTGGAGTCTATTGGGAGATTTGAAGAACCAAAGAACAAAGTAAAAGATGAAGCATGCAAGTCTTATGTGCAGCACAAACTATATTTACATGGCTGTGAGTCAAAACCCCAAGCCCCAACCCTTGGTAGGTTGACCATGTCTGGCAGTCTACTCTGTTCGTTTTCTGTGGTCAACCACGGGCCCTGGTTTTGACCTGCAGCCACATAGACTCAGTTTCTAGGTGGCGATACAACAACCACTTGCCTCAGGATGTCCCTTCCTTGGAGAAGGGGATAGTAGACTGATGCATGTTTGCCGATGTCTTGTGATGTTGCTCATGGACTTGAGCTTTCTTCCCACCAAGCCTCTCAGTTAAACATCGACCAGCACTGCAGGCCTAAATCCTCTGCCCCTTCCGGATTTGGTTCCACGGTCTTTTTTCTTGCAACCCGGATGAACCAGAAACGCTCAGCGGACACCCAAGTGGAAGACTTGTTCTTCACATCACCGTTTTGGAGGCCGAGCACAGCCCGGTGAAGCAAAATCTCATACAATCTCACATCACCTGCCAAATCCAGCCCAAAATTGCTAGATCGAGGACTGATTTCGCAACCATCTCAAACACGTTCGTTGTGATGCAAGCGTGCCTCCAACAATTTTGTGTCCAAACATGTGCGGCCGTTCCGAACAAATCCCAAATGAGGACAATGGATGGGAAAGATGTGACTCGAGTTCTCCAACCAAGCCAGGACTTCCGTCGCCCAGGTTGTTAGTCCCATCCGGCGGGGTCGGTGAGTCGTGGAACCGGGCACCCGCCGGGCACCGGGACCTCCGTTCGGAACCGGGCATCCGGATCCATGGGACTGCCTGACAATCTCTCACAGCTCCAAAACCAATTCTCTTTCGCTGCCCAAACCACAGCACCTCCGGACTTCCTCCGCTTCCTCCCTTCCCACCTGGTGCATCACTTGCGCGGCCAGCGCAGTCGCGGCCACCTGGCGGCTCGCAAGAGAGGTTCTGAGGTTACACAGGTCATTTTCAGAAGTCTTTGAATCTGCGCCAGCACCACCCACAGGGCGATTTACATGCACCATCCTGTCTGGGTGTCCAGGCTGGAGATCCCTAAGAGTGTAGGCTAGTCCAGCCAGGACACTTATTGGTCCTGGTATAGATCCTTTACATTATTATTGCAAGATCTACACTCCCGAAAACTATCATGAACCCTGAAAACCACTGGTTGGTAGAGGAAAACAATCTTCCATCTTACCATTGTCAGGGTCTATGTGAGTTTTCGGGAGTGTAATGGTCCATGACCAAAACCTCCGGATGATCTCGCTAAACAAACGGCTGAAGCATGCTGAACCCACCGGTCATCTCCATCGGGTGAGTTCTATGGACCACGGGTTGGACATGTGGACAAGCAAAATACTAGAGTCGGTTTTTGTCGCATTCAGTAGCAACCATCCACTCGGATGGGCTACCCGGTGAGCAGAGTATTGGAGGGTGAACCCGACACATTTACGGTTTCAGAGTAGATGGCACAATCCCCAAAACGTGGTTTGTATGGACCCCCATCAAAAGGACATCTTGGGGTCTGTGCCATCTACTCTGAAATCACTGCAGTGTGTAGAAAACACCTATCTGTAGAATGGGATGTCCAACCTCGGCTCTCTGCAAAATGCCAAACCACATAAATCCAAATGAAGTGACCCGAGGCAACCCCAACAAAAATCTGGCAAGTGAGTCTATGAAATGACCAAATCATGTTCTGTCGTGAAAGCTGGAGAAGAAAACAAAAAAAGGAAGAGACTGGGAAAAACAAACTATGTAGAATCTATATGTATCTTGTATGTGGCTGTACTAGTGGGTATTATAATGAGTTTCTGTTTCTCTTGTGTTTCTGTGTAAAACAAGCTTCTCTACAAAATAGCATTCTAAGTCTTCTCTTCAGTGACCCAGAATGACCTTTTTGAAAAGGACCACTCTACAAAATGCAATGTTCGGGCTTTGGCCTTGTTCCTCCCTCACTGTAGAATGCGTCCATGAATTGTATTTTTTGTAGATGTCATTCTATAGTACTCTCTGCCCAGGTATTCAGAATCTGCAAAGTGCTAAAATCCAAACCAGGAAGAAGCTCCGCACGTGAACACCTGGCTGCGTTTTTGGAATACGGAGACACCCAAAGAGTGCCTGGAAACAAACTAAACTTGGTTGAAAGGTCTCTCTCTTCCAATAGCCAGCCTACGGTGAAACTTAGCAGTAGCACTCGTTGCACGCAGTGGGTGCACACTTTTCTAGTTTGCATGCCAGCTGGGGAAAACCAGTAGCAAACTGCGGCTCTGATGGATTCTGATTCGCTTGTGTCAGGCAAGCCTTGAGATCCGACCTTTCAATACAAAGACTCCAGAATCCAAACAGAGCATACCGCAGGTGTACAGTTGGGCTGGGATCAGAAAACGCTTAATAAGTCGAAATAGAACCTAATTTGTCCATCCAGGTCTCTCAAAGAACTTCCGGGCCTGGCAAAAATTTGTTTGTTGAATTTTTCAAGTACCAACAAGGGGAAACAAGTCAATGATCCCTAAGGATCCTTGGATCCACAGAAGGGGTTGAACCCTCGATTGACAGGGTTTTGGGGTACATTAGAAGGATAAATTGATGGTCAGCGACTGTTAGGGGGAGTCTATAAACCAACCCGAACTGGATGGTGCTGGTCACTTTCACTTGTTTTCCACCAGGGCCCACAGGGGGCCCTGGTTAATGGGACACCCCTTAACCTCTATATAAGGGGCTCATTCTTGGATACCCCAAACCGAGGGCCCTAGCATAGTTCCACCTTCAGATGAATTTGCGATGCCTTGCTTTCTGCCCAAATTGTTGCATCAACTGCATCGCATGAGGCTTGGATTTTCAGGGCGTTCGGGTGGGATTCAAATCGCCCCACACGCAAACTCTGGGACAAGTATGTGTTTGTTTGTTTTCCCGAGTGCGTAGCGAAGGGTTCTCGTTTAACTCTAGGGGTCTGGGGGTAGAGCCTTGTTCGCGACCGGTTGTTCGCAGCCGTCCGCAACCGTGCGCAACCGGACGCAGTAGAGCGCTTAGGCGCTGCAACTGCTTGGCAGGGCTGCGTGATGTGTGTGCTCCGATGGGTGTTTCCGCTTGACTTTTGGAGGAAGCCTCGTACGAAACACTCGTTTTGCAGACTTTGACATGTGAGTTTTTGAGGAAGTCTCGTACGAAACGCTCGTCTTGCAGCCTCGAAGCGTGTGTCCTACAAGACTGTCCCAGATAGAGTGTCCCACAAGAGTTTTGTATGAGTGTCCCACAAGAGTGTCCCGCAACCGTGCCGTACAAGAGTGTCTCACAAGAGTGTCCCTTAAGAGTGTCCCACAAGAGTGTCCTAGAAGAGTGTCCCACAAGAGATCACAAGAGCATCCTACAAGAGTGTCCCACAGGAGTGCCCTACAAGAGTGTCCCACAAGAGTGTCTCACAAGAGTGTCCCGCAAGAGTCCTACAGGAGTAACCCACAAGAGCTTCCTACAAGAGTGTCCCACAAGAGTGTCCCACAAGAGTGCCCCACAAGAGTGTCCCACAAGAGTGTCCTACAAGGGTGTCCAACAAGAGTGTCCCACAAGAGTGTCCCACAAGAGTGTCCCGCAACAGTGTCCCACAAGAGCGTCTCACAAGAGTGTCCCTTAAGAGTGTCCTACAAGAGTATCCCACAAGAGTTTCCTACAAGAGTGT